TTAAAAATATTTTCCTAATAATGGCGGAAAAATTAGTATGCTAACTGCGAAAAGAAGCTGTCACATTTTGTTCGTTTTTGCCGATAATAAATGTCAATCCTGAACTTGCCCAATGGAAATATTTTCCTTTTAAGATTATTTGAGCCCCTTTTTATGGAAAAATACATATTAGAATAATAGGTTGATAGATAATGTGTAATTGAAAAATAAGAAAAAGTTTTTAGTTTATATGTAATATTATTTTAGTGAAGAATGTGTGGTTGAAAAGAATAGAGAGAAAAATGTATTATGAAAAAAATGGAATGAAACAAAGCAAAATGGCTCTCCTTTTTATTTATATATCGGTTAAATTCCTCAATTCTCGATTTTTATGGGTTAATTTCGCAACTACGAACATTTGGAGGACCAAGTTAAAAAATCAAGTGAATTAAAAAGTATTGTAACATTACAAAAGTCGGTAAAAATTGTTTTAAAAATCAGGTGTCTTCACACATGTTAACTTTCTTGTTATAGTATGTGTAATTACTTTTGACGTGTATGTAATTTTTCGTATCATACTTTTTAATATTTTTAATGTGAATGTAATTTTTTTTTAACAGAAACCCTACATATAACAAGTTATCGTTATTGTGACTTACTCTCTAAAGGTTGAAATACTTTCATATCTTGTTTAATTTCTTTTATGTAATTTTATGAAACTGTAACTTATTAATCCATGCAACATCATTGTTGCGGCCGCCTCCACATTCCAAATCGTCATATCTACATCATGCCACACCACCTTCTACCAAAAATCATAACAAACTGACAAGCGAAACAAAAAAATGTCCACAAATCATAATTTCTATAATCGAACCAACTACCATTGTAACTGTCTGTGGTAGGTTACTTTAGGATTTTTTAAATAGTAACTGACTTTTGCAATTATGTTATAATTTATAAATGCACGGTCTTTCGCCTTTCTTATGTAATAAATGCAAGACTTGATCTAATTTCCTTTCTCTCCTCCTCCTCCTCCATTATTTATTTATTTATTATTATTATTATTATTTTTTAAATAATGACGATTCTTCTCAAAAATCCAAGCTGTTTATGTAAATTCAGTTAATTCTAGACTCGTTTTCACAATTACTAATACTAATTAAAACATATGTTAAGACATGGACTAATCTAAATCCAAAGATTTGGATGTTATTTTCTATTGTCCAAATATTAACTTGTATCAGTTTTGCCATGCTTATTATATATATATGCTGTCAGCTGGTTTCAATCATGCCAACTAAGACGAAACTGATACGATAATAATCCATATGCATTAAGTATTGAAGATATTAAAACTCACAAATCTGATGAAAAATGCAAGAAGAATTTCATAAAGAGAAAAAAACTGCCAAATTAATTAAATCAATGATCATAGCCAGCTTTAAGAAATAAATTTCAAATCCCTATATATTGTCCATGTTTCTTCCCAAAATTTATTTCAACAGAACTCCTGAAATCAAAAAATTCTTTCTATATCCTTTTGAAGAACACAAACATTACCATGGCAAAGAAACCTAACATGGGTCGTCAAAAGATCAAACTGGCAAAAATAGAGATCAAGAATCACTTACAAGTTACATTCTCGAAATGTCGAATGGGGCTTTACAAGAAGGCCAGTGAACTCTGTACACTCTGAGGGGTTGAAATTGCCATTATAGTTTTCTCTCTAGCTGGAAAAGTATTCTCTTTTGGGGACCCTAATGTTGAATCCATAATCAACAGGTTTTTCGACCGAAATCCGTGAACTAAACTTACAACTCAGTCAAATTTTTAATGGAATCAAAGTGGAAAGAAAAAGAGGAGAAGAATTAGAAAATATGAGAAAAATTAGTCAAATCCAGCACTGGTGGGAAACCCCTGTGAATGAATTAGGGTTTCATGAGCTTCAACAACTAAGGGATTCCATGGAAGAATTATACTAGAATGTCACTAATCAAGCTAATAAACTCTTATCTGAGGTGACTAATCCAGCTGTCTTTTTCCACACAAATAATGTTGCAGTTTTTGATCAATATGAGACAAAACCTACACAGGCCTTCGAGAATTCATCTGCTGCTGCTCTTAGTAGTAATTTTGGATATTGTCATGGATTTTTCTGATATAAATTTTTAATCTTTTCAACTGCAGTTCTAAGATAGTATCTTACTAGCCTTTATTGAAAATATTGAATATTTTTTTCTCAGTTATGGTTTAGTAATGATATTTTTCTTCCTAGTTGATGGTCTAATTATTGATGAGATCATGATGATTTTGTTTCTTTAAAAGTATTCAGGAAGAATGATACATGTGACAACTTTATTTGCAGTTTGCACCACCAATCTTGAATTTTGAGTGTGCACAGAATTTAAAAGAGTTCCCTATTTATTAAGAAACACACACACATAAACACATATAATGACAAAAATTTACAATGCTAATACATTAATTTGATGAATATAAAGCTATTATAAATGTTTTAACCAAAATAATGTTAATAGTAGGGAGAATAATTTTTTACATGATGAAATCATTACCGTAATCCTTTGGTCTCCAATAATGAAAAATATTTCTGCTAAGTTGTATTAAATTAGAAGTTCCAACTTTTTTAATACAATCTACATTAACATTGGAGATGCTCATAGGAAGAAACATAATAGACATCATAAAATCTCTCCACTATCCAAAACACTTTATCCGAATCTAATGGTTATTGTTGGGTTTTGATACCCAATAATTTGGGCGATGATTTAAAATAATTGTCGAATTATTTATCGACACCATGGACTCGACTCGACTCCGAAATGAACTACACTTTTGGATGGCTCGGGTTGGGGTTGGATGGTTCTTTGGTTAGTAGGACCATTTAGTGATTAATATGAAGTTGGATATTAGCCCATTAGTTTAGGTTAATTGGTAGCCCACTTAGTGAACCTTTGGCCCAATTGAAGTGACCTAAACTAACACTATATATGCCATCTTCTTGAAACCGTTTTCTTCATGGTGGTGTGCAGGTGTGTGTTGAGAGAGGGAGAGAGGGCCAAAAGATGTGCGGGGGCAGCCGGCTTGGTGGTGGTTGGAGTAAGTCTGCCATTATTGTTTCTTCTTCTCCCTATCACCAACACCGTACCTACTCCTTTGTGGAGTTTGAGAGAGTTTGGACAGTCCAAAGTGAAGGTGAAGTTCTTGGGTCGAGCCGAGGTAAACTTGTGTTCATTTGATTATTTTCTGAGTTCGGAATCAAGATTTATTGAGAGATTTTCGTAACACTTATAAATTATGAATATTATTTTCACTTTTAGGTAAACTTACTCGTAAATTAAATTTTTACTTAGAAGTGAATTTACTTGTATAAAAACTAATTTAATTATGAATGAACTTACATATTTGAATTCAAGTAATTTGTTCCTTGTTATTCATAACTTGTTGAATTAATAATTCGGTCTAAAACGAATAATGCTATGTTCCATATTGGACTCCATTAAATTCATTGTGTGATGAACAAAAATGCATCCTAATTTTATCGAACAATAAATTCTTAACTCCACTTTTACCTAGACTGGTGTTAAGAATAAAGGTTCTATATCTATAATAAACACGTGAAGTGAATAAATTTTGTCCGGTCGACTAAAGGACAATAAACATCCTAAATTAGTTTAATTCGAACATTAATTCCACCAAACACATGATAGAATTAAATTGACCCTTATCCAATCTAATACAACGCGCCAAACAAACGCACCCTTATGCTTTACGTTATTTCTTTCTCAAATTTTGGAGCTGTTTATGTAAATTCATGTAATCGTAGACTTTTAATGTTATAAATTCCGTTAAGAGTAATTAAGACATGAATCACTCTAAATCCAGATACTTATGTCACTGATTCGACTAAGCTGGCTGATGAAGTACAAAAGCTACTTCAACTACATGCAAACATTATTACATATAAAAGTTTACGCTAAATAAGTTTTTGTTACATTGACTGTTTCTTTTTTCTGTCTTAATTAGCTTCTTAATTTTGTTTTAGACGTTTTTACCCACTTAATGTTCCATTATTCACAAATTTTAAAATACTAACATTTATATCATTTTTTTTCCAAGTTGTAATGAATAACTTTGGCATGCAATAGTCATCTAGTTTTAGACCACACCAACTATTTTTGAGGGCATTTAAGACAAAAATTGACAAATAGTAAACTTATTATTGTCGTAATAAATAATTCTGAAAAAAATTAATATGTTACCTACGAAAAGAAGATGTCACATTTTGTTCGACTTTGCCACGAATACGTTATGCATTTTTCATTATAACAAGAGTGCCTCTAGTAAGTGTCAATCTTGAACTTGCCCCAATGGAAATAACTTCCTTCCAAGTATATATTTTAGTTTTTTAGGAAAAGAATGGTGCTAGTGCCAAATGGGACTTTATTTCCCCCCCCAAAATTACTCTATTAGTTCTCAATTTATTTTTTATATTAATAATAGTTAATCTTTCTCAAATATCCAAGTGTTTCTGTAAATACATATAGTTCTAGTCTGTTAACTTCACAATTACAATTACTAATTAAAACATATATTACCTTGTGGATTAATGATTAAAGGCAGTTCTTAGGATTAGTCAAAATCCAAAGATTCGTATGTTATTATTGATATCAAAATTTGCAAATCATAACGAAAAATTTGGCATTCAATAGTGAACTAGTTTCAGTCATGCCAACTAAGTAACATTGATATGACAATCATCCATATTATGTAAAGAAGATATTATAACTCCCAAATCAGACGAATTTCACAAAAAAACTGCCAAATTAATTTAATCAATGATCATAGCCAGCTTTAAGAAATAAATTTCAAGTCCCTATATATTGTCCATGTTTCTTCCCAAAATTTATTTCAACATAACTCTTGTAACCAACAAAATTTTCCTGTATCCTTTTGAAACACACGAACATTACCAATTTCCCATGGCAAAGAAACCTAGCATGGGTCGCCAAAAGATCAAACTTGCAAAAATAGAGATTAAGAATCACCTACAAATTACGTTCTCGAAACGTCGAACAGGTTTTTTCAAGAAGGCTAGTGAACTTTGTACACTCTGCAGGGTTGAAATTGCCATTATAATTTTCTCTCCAGCTGGAAAAGTATTCTCTTTCAGGGACCCTAATGTTGAATGCATAATCAATAGGTTTTTGGTCCAAAATCCGTCTCTAAATCCCAGCACTGTATTCCATTTTCTTGATGCTCACAGGATTTCTTCTGTCTGTGAACTAAACTTGCAACTCAGTCAAATTCTCAATGAAATCGAAATGGAAAGAAAAAGGGGAGAAGAATTAGAAAATATGAGAAAAATTAGTCAAATCCAGCATTGGTGGAAACCCCTGTGAATGAAGTAGGGTTTCACGAGCTTCAACAACTAAGGGAGTCCATGGAAGAATTATACTAGTGTTTACACATAAAAATTCAGCCCAAATCGAACGGCCCAAAGAATGAAGCCCAATTGGAGGATCCCCAAATCAGATAGCCCAAAGAACGAAGCCCAATCAAACAATTCAAGTTGAAGGCCCAAATAGGGAGGCTCAAGAACGCGGTAACGCCGTCGACCAAGTTTGCAAGTCGCCCAGAATCTGAGCGAATGGAGTGCCATGCAATCACCCAGAGCTGTTACTCTATTCTCGTCCAAACCTTCAGGTCGCCCAAGGTCTTAGCAAACATAAAGCGTTGTGGTTATCAAGAAGTGCAGTTATCAAAGTAGTTATTAAAGCATCCCTATCACGTTCCACGATTCAAGGAATTCAATCGAAAACGGTTGAACGACGAAGAGTAATGGCAGCAGTTAAAAAAGGTAGTTTTCATGACAAGCTGGCCATTATGAGGAAAGTGGGCAGTTGTAGAACGATTAAGCAATTTTTAGGCGGTTGATCACAAAGAGATCATCCATGGAGTATAAAAGGGAGAAAAGACATAGAGCAAAGGGATCGAATCAAAAACTCTCGAACAGAGAACATGTAATTTTAATTTCCTTAGCTTAGACTTAAATACTTTTTTCAGTAATTCGTGTGCTTGCGCCCCTTGGAGGTATTCTGTTTTTAATTTCCAATTGTAAAGTCATCGTTAATAAAAGAACACCCCTTTTTGGGACTTTGTCTCAAGAGGTTTGTCCCTTACACAATCGTCTGATCCCTTTTAATTGTTAGCGACTAACCCGCACGAAACAATTTGGCACGCCTAGTGGGACAGTGGTGTTTGGTGTTGAAAATACAAAAGGTGAAACAATATGCCTCAGAGATCCGATAAGGAAGCAGCAAGTCAGGGAGGAGTCCAGTCTGTGATCGAGCGATATGAGGAGCAGCATGCCTTTCCACGAACAGATGGACAGAATCAGAGTAGTAACAGTCGTTACGAACCAATGACGGAGTTGAGTCCTCGAACCATGTGTGCATTACTTGGAGAACTCACACAAGACGTCGTTGAACAGGTAAATCTTCGAAGTATTCATAATATGGAAAGATTTACCCAAAATGGGAATGCACATTATGACAACATGGCCAAACAACTAAACACTTTGAACGAAACAATGAATAAGTTAGTAGGCCAAATATGTCAACCGGTTATACCTCTTGCAAATCGCTTTCAAATTAGGACAATTATGGGACATAATCCCTCAGTCCTAAATCCGAATCAAGGGGTAGAACCACTTTCTGGTCCCTCTACTTCAAACCAAGGGGGTACTGCGGTGCCAAATCAGAACAATGGTAGTTGTACACCTAACTTGGGGGGTAATCCAAATATAAGAGATAATGTCCTAAACAATGGACAGAATACCCCACGTGTTAATGAGGTAATAGATGTTCGGGCTAATGGTAATGGCCCTAATTATGGTAACTTTGTTGGCAATCAAGGACCAAAGATCAGGCCTCATGCAAATCAACCGGTTAACTAGCCTGTAGGAATTCCATATGACTCCAACGTCATGTTGAGGAATCAGATTATGGAAATCGTACAGGATCAGATGGCTTTTGGGGTGCGTCCCGTCGTTAGGCCGATTTACATAAAGCCATATCCTGATTGGTAGACCAAGCATATCCATGGCCTAGAGGGTACAAAGTGCCAGAATTTTCACTGTTTACCGGTTTAGGAGAGATGTCTACTCTAGAACACATAGGGCGATTCACATTGCAAAGTGGTGACGTAACCGATTACCATAAAATGAGGCTTTTCCCTAGTTCATTAACAGGAGTAGCTTTCTCCTAGTTCATCAACTTGCCAGCGAACTCTGTTCAAACATGGCAACAATTGGAACAGCTATTTCACGCTCAGTTTTATAAAACTGAGTCTGAAGTCACTTTGGCTGATTTGGCGAATCTACATCAAATGCCAAACGAATGGGCAGAAAGTTTTCTCCAAAGGTTCAAGACAGCAAGAAGTAAGTGTTTTGTACCTCTGCCTGAAAAAGAATTTGTCAAAATCGCTCAGGGCTGCTTGAGCTTTGATTTAAAAAAGAAATTCCAGGACAAGGAATTTCCTGACCTTTTCCAGTTGAGTGCGAATGTGATTAGGTATGAACGACTGATAAGAGAGGAAGAACAGATGAAAAATTCTAGTAATGGGACTTATTACAAAGACCCAAATTTTGACGTTCATACCATCAGCGACGAGTCATACGATCAAGTCGAAATGTGTTTGGTCGAATTGATCAAAGGAGATACGTATACTTGTCCCATAATGGCCAAGCCTAGACCATCGGGCAAAGATGAGCCCATAAAAGATGAAAACATGAAGGCTAGAACGTTCTCGTTCGATGTAACCAAAGCTGACCTTTATTTGATAAATTATATAGGGATAAGCAGATAAAGTTGAGCGATAAGCACAAATTGCCAAACCCTGAACAAATTAAGGGTAAAAAATATTGTAAGTGGCATAATGCATGGTCACATTTGACTAACAATTGCTTGGTTTTTCGCCATGTATTGCAGGATGCCATTGAATCAGGACGAATTACGTTCGACGATAAGAAGAAGATGGCAGTGGATGAAAATCCTTTTCCAAAGCCACTTGGAGTGAACATGGTGATATCTGGATTCAAAAACAAGTTGCCAAAATTCAAGTTGGTCGTAGGTGATGGAGAAGAGGATCATAGACCACATCCCAGTGTCTTTGAACGAATCAAGGGGAAAGAACCAAAAAAGGACGAAAACGTCCTATGTGCAAGATGTAAAAAAGAAGTGAATGGAAATACGGAGAAACCAGGGATATGGCAGCATCCCCATCGCCCTACCTTCTTCCCAAACACTCAACCTGGTAGAGGGCGAGGTACATCATTCTATAGAGGATCGCCTTTTGAGAGGCAGTTCAGGCCAGCAGATAATGAAAGAACATTCAGGCCGCAACCTCGCCGGCCAAATGTATAGCATTCATTCCAGTATAATGCAGGAAAGATAATACTCTTCGATGAGATGACTAGAACCCAACAAAAACGTTTCCAATGAAACTATGGACGGATGATGAGGATGCAACTGGGAGTGCCACATCCTAAAGCGCCTAAACTACTCAAGGTAGCCAATCAAAATGTCCTCAAAGATAGTGAAGAGATCGGTACAGATGAATCAATGAAGGAACTGCCAGAAACTTCTTCTGGGAGATCAAAGTTTGAGCGAGATAGAAGGGATGGAGAAGATCCAGATCAGCCCCTTACCATCCAATTCGGTATGTTGCCTCCTATCGTAATCAATAATTACTTACTGGCCAATGAATTCAAGAATAAAGAAAAAGAAGAAGAGAGGGAGGATAACGAAGGAGAAGCTTGTGTGCTGGAATGTGAAGAAGGCCAGACTTCTAGAGAGGCCTATAATGATGAAGAGGACGACGAGATGACAGACATTGAAGAAGAAATCGACCTAGAAGCAGAAGGAAGAAAGAGAGGAGTATCGCGCAAGACTCTGTTGAAGCAACTACATCGAGAGGGAGTTCGCGAAGTAGATTTGTTGGGAGAGCCATCTGGGCGTCCTTTCGATTTCTACGTACTGTACGGGACACTCAAAAGGAAAAAGAGAGTGCCTCGATCTGAAAAGTATGGATCACCTCCAAGAATAATGTCCCCTCCCATAGGTTGGGTAACTTATGAGGAAGCATTAGAAAAAAGTAAGAAGGAAGTTCATGAGACAGAGGATCAGTGCGATATACTGCACGTCGACTTATCACAGGGGGATAATTCGATAGAAAACAAGCAGGAAGTAGAAATAGAGGCTGTCGAAAAAGTTATTTTTAAACGGCCAGCCATGAAATTGACTAAACACTTGAGGCCATTGTACGTTAAAACTCTAGTTAACGGCATCTCAGTGGCAAAAGTGCTTGTCGACAATGGAGCAGCTATAAACACCATTCCATCTAGGATGATGAGGAAGTTCGCAAAGACAGAGGGTGACATGATTCCTACAGAAGTCATCCTCACGAGCTTCAATGGAGGAGCAACTTCAGCTAAGGGAGTTATGCCATTGGACATAACTATAAGGACGACTACTAGGACCACTGTCTTCTTTGTAATAGATGGTCCTACTAGTTACAATGTGCTACTAGGAAGAGATTGGATACACGGAAGTCGCTGTATACTCTCATCGCTCCATCAATGCCTGATCTTTTGGAATAACAAAGGCGAAGCTGAGGTGGTACAGGCCGATCATAGGCCTTTTGTCGCAGAAGCAAACTCGGTGGAAAAGTTCATGTACGAAGGAAACTATGGACCTGTCAGGGTAGTACAAGATGGGGAAGAAACTCAAGTTGTCACGCAAAGCGAAGAACCATTCTCAGTGGACGCACTCACTGAAATGTTCAAACAGATGAGGCCAAATATAGTGGCCCTAGAAGAGTCAGTAATTAGCAAAAGAATAATCAAGGAGTCTTGAATGGATTCTAAGTTACAAAAGCAAATGGCCGACATTCAGGCCTTCAAAACCAGACTAATGGCTTTCAATAAGGAATGCAATGACAAGGCTAAAGAAGAGACAGCCCTGAAAGTACTGAAGGACAAATTAGCAGTATTCGAGTTAGAACAAAGCATTGGTCAAGAAGTCAACAAGGTGGACTGTTTAGAAGAAGAAGTACTTACAAGGGAATTGGACGACGAAGTGATGTGGATCATCAAACCTGGATACGCTCAAGCACAAGATCCTCTGATCAAAGTAAATATTGGCAATGAAGGAGAAAACCGTCCAACATTCATCAGTCAGATGCTCGATCAAGAGGTTAGTGATAAATTAATTGCTTTG